TATTTGTGGCTGAAGTTTGATGGTATTTGTGGCTGAAGTTAGATGATATTTGTGGCTGAAGTTAGATGGTATTTGTGGCTGAAGTTAGCCGTGGCAGCGCGGCCTGCTCGTCAACACGCTGCTCACCTTCGCTCTGCTTGTAGAAGACGGAGTCGCTGCCGCAGACGCTGCCATCGTTGTCGTTGCTTTCTTCCTGAACGCTGCTTTCTGAAACAGAAGGAGCGAGGGTTTGAGTTTTCAGGCTTTTCTTCCCTCTCAGTGAAACAGAACAATTCTGCTCATGTGCCGTGGAGGAAAAGTTGAAAGTAGGTCACGCTGACGGCGCATCATCCAACCTAACCGTATTCCCAGCCGGACGTTGTCTTCTTGTCACTTTTACTGTTTTTGTTTCATCCCTGTGCGGTTCCCTGCTCTGAATATAAAAACATGACGGCTAAAGAAAAAAAGACAATTCGTCTGATAATTATTGTTTTGTCGTCTTTTAAACAAGTCACACGAGCACGCACAACAAACACCCGTCTTCATGTGTTTGTCTTTATCGGTGAATCCAGGACGAGCCTCTCGTGGGTGGCGGCTATTTTCGTAGAGGAAATCTGAAGTTGCAGCAACGGTACGTTTCCCTGATGTAAATGTTAATTTGAGTATAAAATTTCTAAACACACTTTATTAAAAAGACAATAAAATCCCTTATATGTGCATAATTTACATGAAAAGGACATTTCTTTAAAGAAGAACCCGTTGCTCGCCACGCTAAATGACAAAGTTTTAACCAAAGGTCTGGCGTCGTCTGTTGCAGCTCACAGCGAGTGTTGGGGATGACTCTCAGCTGCGACTGTAACAGATGTTGGAGCCAAAAGTGAATGCTACGTGTTGTTTAACTGCTATGGTGGCACAGGTGTTCAGATTTGTCCTACCCTTCAGGTAACTGCATGAGGGGCGTGGTCACACGTTACTTGATCCGAGTCATGAGGCTCAATGTGACTTATCTGTTTAAATAAAGGTTGAATGAATAAAATCCTGTCAGCCTTAATGAAACGAAGAGGGGACGTTTGGACAAGCAGCTCATTAAAAACACAAACTGTCAGGAAAACAAAGATTTGCCCAACCTTCACGTCAGAGTCAAACAATCTGTCTGATCTCACGTCCATACGTTTTCTGGGAGTCTTGGTTCTTTTGTGGTCTAACAAGTCTGACGTCTCAGGGTCGTCAGGACTCCAATCTTTGGCTCGACTCCTAATTTCTGTTCATTTAGCCTCGTTGCTCCTCCTGTTGGGGAGATTGTGGCACGGTGGATCGGTGGTTTGGTGTGAAGGCGGCTTGAAGCAGCCACAGCTGTCAAACCACAACAGAAGCTCATCCACACAGCCAGGCAACCATTGCGCTAACGTTAAAACAAGTGGGCTGTGCAAAACGCAAAGACGTGTGGAGTAAAAAAACACGTGGAATAAGAATGTAATAAATAAAAACGCTGGCGTGTTTTCTCTTATTTCTGCTGTTCAGCAGCAGAAACAGCACAAGTTGTGAGATCATCAAATTAAAAAAAACTGCTGTTTGTCAAAACTAATGTTTCCACAGCAGAGCCTGAAAACCTGCCTCAACAGTTCTGACATGCAGAAACACGACAGGAAGTGTAACTTGGTAAAACACACGTCACTTGTAGCTCCACAAACGGAGTTTGGTTTGATTTCATGTCACACTGAGCGTCTCCGTCTACAAGCTCAGTCGCAGGAACTTACACATCCCGCTAGTCTCCTCTGTCGGTCTCTCCTTGAACGAAATGGCACCGTTTTCACACAGTTATTAGAGTTTCTGATGGGCTGAGAGGAACCAGTGGGAAATTACCTGCAGTCCACACAACAGGACCGTGGCAGAGGCCTCATGAGAGCCGCCCGCTGACGAGCGCTGCTCACACACAAACAATGCACAGTTATAAAAGTATAAAGAGAGCTTGAGATCAGACGCAAAAATCCACGTTTTTAAATCAACCGACTCAACAAAAAAAAAAAAGTTTAATAAAACCAAAAGTGGACTTCTATTCTGGAGTTGAAGACGTTTTGCTTCTCATCTGGGAGACTTTTTATCAGTTGCAGTTTATATTAAATCCACTCGCCCCTCCCTATAGGGTCTGTTTTAAGCACTATTCACACGGGAGGAGTTTTACCTAGGGACCACACGTAATAAATAAATTACTCCCCAACGTCAGAGTCAGAGAGATTTATTTGTTAAAGGTGAGGTGGGACGAAACTATGTTCACCGTGTCCCAGTTACATCCAACAAAAACACAAACTGTAAAGAAAAACAGTAAGATCTGAGTCATGAACTAACAATATACTACATTCACTAAACTAAGAATACACTGAGCACTAATAATACAAAAACAATGCGCCAAAACAACAGCAGCACGAACATGAGTCTGTGTGAGCAGATGAGGACGAATGAACAGAGCAACATTTACCCTTTATTTATGGTGGGGGTTAAGGGCCTTGCTCAGGGGCTCAGAGTGGTACGAAGGAGGGTGGAGGCAGGTGTGGGTGTTTCACCTTTTCCACCCACAATTTAAACGTTGACAGTACCGGGAGTTGAACCTGTGACTTTCCGATCACAGGCCCATCTTCTAACCTCTGCGCCACCACTCCCCCAAAACATGAAGTACTCAGCAGCATGAAATCAGTATCATGGATAGTCAGCTGCACATCAACAACCAACGTCTGGTTCTTATGTGGCACATTCGCACGAGATGACCAAAGCCTGAGATTATGCTGAAATTTACGGACATCTTCTGGATATTAACACGCTGCGTATTGGGCAACATCCACTTGTGTGTTCAAGAGGCTTTTGCTGGTCCGGGACACAAACGGTTATTTATGCACTCCATGCAGGCGCCATTGCCAAAAGCAAATAAAATGCATCCAAGAAACAAAAAATGTCTAATTACGTATCACATCCTGCACATTTCTGTCCAAATCACAGAGATGCCTCTTCGCATTGGATTAGTATTATCACAGGACATCGGAGTTCAGCAAAATATAGTAGGTAATTTGTGGGGGAATTTTTACTTTACAAATTACTGACATGGCTGATTTGCAGGGGATTAACAACACAGACAATCTCTGTAATTATTACAAATAGCTGTGGTCCCTAGGTAAAACTAATCCATGTGAATAGGGCTTAAGCCTACAGGTCCCAAGAGGGACGTCAGTTTACCTGCATGAAGGTGTGAAGAGTGGAACTGACTGAGGCAGGCTTTATGAATAGTGAACTGAAAAGCTAAAATCTGAGCGCTCTGATAAAAGTTGTTTTTCTAGTTAGGTCTCTAATGCACCAGGATGTTGTGTTGGGAGAAAATCCTTCTGATTTATTTAATACTGCAGTAACAGAAATGTTGCTGGAGTAATGTTACTGTGGTGCTCACAGTTACAGCAATCAGCTAACAGCTAATAGCTAATAGCTAATAGTGGAACTAATTTTTTGTTTAGTGGATTAGCATTTTCGCTAACTTCGGAAATGTTACCAGAATTAGCCTCTATGGTTTTGTCAAGTTTTAAATCCGTTAACAGAATTCACAAGTTTGTTCCCGTCTATTGTGGGCGTGTCTCAGAGTCCGTTAAGCACGCTATTGGCTTACTCGGTGCACACGTGACAAGGCGTGATTGGTCGACGCAGCTTACACTTTCTGTTAGATATGGAGGAGCGTCCCAGATGAAATACTTTCTGAAGCTTGAATGAGTTTAAGAGAAGCAAAACAACGAGTTTAAAGAAACTGAGAGGATCAGCAGTAAGTTCTCTGGTTAAACACATTGTTTGATGATCTCTTCTACAATTCAGACATTTAGCATGATCTGTGGAGCAGGTCTGTTCCTAGAATTGGACGTAAATCCAACACTAAAAGAAAACCAAGAACTACTGCACCTTATATTGTTGCAGAGATGGATTTTATAGACAGGTTTGTATTTAAATATTCACATGTTGTAAAGAAAATGCTCGCAGTTCATGTGAAATATGAATCAAAACCACTCGCAGATCAATCCTGGCTGGTTGACGAGGCATGTGGGAGGAAGCTGAGGGAATCTGGAGGAAACCCACACGACACCAGCAGAAAATCCCAGACAGGTGGCTGAGGAAAGCCTGCGAGGCTTCTTTCACCACACAAAACAGCATCGCTCCAAAAACTACAGTCGGTGGCAACAACCCAAGATCCCAAGTCTTGTGGGACAGCAAGCAGCGTACGTGCACGGACTGAAAACGAGCCAGGAATATAAACAAATAAAAAGTATTGGAGGCAACTTGAGTTCTGTGCATGCAGCTTGTTTAGAGGAGGTTACTGGTCTTTATCCACAGACGACAAACTCTTATTGGTCTCATAAACGCAACACTCAAGTGCTGCAAAGACCACTTGAATGTCCCTGGGGGGGTCATACCTCCTTAAAAGCTTCATCCACCGACTAAAGCACAAACAACAGGATCATTTTCTGCAAAATACTTCATGCTCGTATGCAAGCTCTTTTTTATTTTATAGTGTCATAAATAGAACAAGTGGACAGAATTAAAAATACATGGAGATGAGGATGTATAAATAAACCAGCAACATCCTGGAAGTGCAGCAGCAGCAGCAGGAGGATGGATGGTCCAGACGGTTTCCTTTCAATTATCCTGCAGCATCTGGCAGCGCACACGAGCCTCGTAAACCAAGTCCTCCGAACAACAACGGAGCTGCAAGGACGTCTGCTTACATCAAGCGGCCTGACAGGTGGAGCGCAGTAACCAACCAGCATCTGCTCCGTGATCGCTCTAACTGAGGCGATCGTGGAGGATTTAACTCTCCAGAGCCGAACTGATGCAGATGGACTTGTCATAAAAACAAGAGGGAGGACAATCGATGCACAGCTCGATAATATAATTGGCCTCTTATTGCGTATAATCTATGTGAGATATTATTTACAGCGTCGCGAACGTCTGTTTATGTTTGCAGAAGGTAACTGGCCACAGGGAGAGGCAGCGTTTAGGTTCAAACAGAAACAGAAAGTTTCAAATGGAGGGAAAAGACTTGATTTTTTTAAAAAACAATTTCACCTTTTTAAAAAACAAACTAATGGAATCTGCTTTTGTTTGATTTAATACAAAAATCAGGGGAAGTTCAAAGTCCTTGAAGGGATGCATATCGCCCGCCACCTTTCAGAGTAAGTGTTGACGACGACCTTCAGCTAAACAGCAGATAAATAACCTCGTTAAACATTTGATGCCACAGAAACAAACTAAATCCATTATTTTTGTGTTTTCCGAGGCAAACAAGCCATGAAAGCTGTAATTGTATCTGGACTCGGAGTGATGCCGCGGAGTTGTTTGCTTTATAGCAGCAGCAGTTCAGATCTCCTGTTTAACATTTGCCCTCCACACCTCCAGGCACAGCTCTGCGCTTTGCAAGCTTTCAGCAGCACAAATAATCCCAACGACACCGACCGCCGCAGTGGCCGAAACACCGAGCCGCAGTTCAGCAGGTTTATCTTGCAAGGAGCCGTAAAAAAAAGTCGATTTCTTGAAAGATAATCAGGTTTTACTTCCTGCAGCTGATCTCTGCAGCCACAAGCACTTCAGCTCATAAACGGAAAAACGGGGAGCTGAACTGATTTTATAATTTATCTGGTAGCATTTGCAAAAAGCTGGTCCACTTTAAAATAAAAAGTTGAGCTAAAGAGGATCTAAAGAGCTGTAGTCAATATGTCAATACTCCGGTTGCTTGTCGCCTTTTGTTCACCGGTAACAATTAGGAAGCTTGTGCATTAACAGAAACACATGCAAACACAGGAAATAATTAAATGTTTCTTATTGTTGCACTATTTATTTCTCCGGAGCCGCCCACAGATATTTAGAGGAAAAAAAAGAAAATTGGGACATCAGTGATCCATTATTTGAAACAAATTAGATTTAAGTGTAAAGAATAAAAATAAAGAATCCATCTTTCCTCTTATATTTTACAATCAACTCGTCGCGTTAACTTTCCAAGTGCATTTCAAGACGCATCAGCCCGCACAACTGGATCTGAGAAAAACAAGATAAAAGCTGATGGATTTAAAGTTTTACAGGTTTTCAACTCTTCTCTTGCAGTGGAAGGCTGCTAGTGGAGCATATTTGTTTAAAAATATAAATATATATATATAAAAAACATGTTCGTCCTATTTCAGGCCTGGGAGAAAGTATGACAGAAATGAAATAGAAACTGTAAGCTGTTTTATTTTTAATTTTTTATAAATAAATTGCATTATTTAGTGACTTTCTAAGGAATTTGCTTTTCATTTTGCTCATGTTTCTCAGAGCCAGCTAAACCTTTTCATAAATCGCAGACAAGCTAAACGTCGTACACGATGTACATCCGATCATCTCGAGCTCATCCCCCCGCCTCGTGTTCCGACCCGACTCATCCCTCGGTGCTCACTTCATCCTTTAATCTCGTCTATCAGGATATGAAATAATGCCTCTTTGTCAGCCACAGACGCAGGCTGCTCCTGATGCAACGGGGTCAAAACGAGGACGTAAAGAAAAAACATTAATTAAGAAATAGCTGCCGTCCTGAACAGGATGTCAAGTGGCCGACGAGAGACGGATCAGCTGTTTCATTATTGTCTGAATGTTTATGAAGCATTTATTTTATTGTCATCCATTTTTCTTCCGTATGTTTTTTGGTGCGATTCTCATCCTGCAGTTTTTTATTTCATCAAATCATGAATCAAAACGTTCGGCTCTTTCAGGACAATCCTGCTGTGACTTTTGGTATCGGTGCAACTTTAGCTTTTTGAAATATTTTAGCCTTTTCTGACATTTTTTTCCTCATAGAAAATGAATTGAGCTCATTTTCCATCCTTCAGATCTTTAGATGTGTTTACAACCTTTTACTGCTCCTTTCACTTTTTGTTCAGCTTCAGCTTCTTTCAGCTTCCTTCTGCAAATTTAAACGTTTTTCAGCTACTTTCAGCTAATTTCAGCTGTTTTGTGCTCCTTTCCAAATCTTTCTGCTAACTTTAACATTTTTGTGCTTCTTCTAACTTCTTTCTGCTAATTTCAGCTTATTTTGCTCCTGTCAACTTATTTCTGCAAGTTTCAGGTTTTTTCTGCTATTTCAGCTAGTATTTAGCTGTTTTATGCTAATTCTGACTTTTTCAGCCAAGTCAGAATTTTCTGCACTATTTTAAACTTTGTTTTCAGTCTACTGGTCATTCAGCAAAAAATGTGCTCTCGCCACTTCGTTCTTGTAATTTCAGCTTCTTTCTGCCTTTTTTAGCTCATGTTCAGCTGTTTTTTTTTTTTTTTTGTAATTTCGGCTTTTCTCAGGTAATTTCCACTTTTTGCGTTCATTTCTGCTTCTTTCAACCTAAATGAGCTCTCTTCACTTTTGCTAAATTATGCTTCTTTCTGCCTTTTTAGCTACTTTTCAGCCGTTTTATGGGCTCAGTTTTGCTTTTTCAGCACAATTGGGCAAACGTTTTTTCTGCTTTCTTCTGCTTATTTCAGCTTGTTCTACCTTTTCAACTATATTTATCATGTTTTAAGCTAATTTCAGCTGTTTTCAGATAAATTCAATTTTTTTGTGGTAATTTCTGCTACTTTCAGCCTAAATAATTTAATTCTGATCATTTTATCTTATGCTCCTTTAAGCTTTTTTTTCTGCTGTTTCGGCTTTTTTATGCTACTTTTAGCTTTTCCAGCTAATTCCACATTTTTTGCACTCATTACAGTTCCTTCTACTTCCTTCTGGTAGTTTAAGCTTATGCCTTTAAGCGACTTTTCAGCTATTTTTTGCTAGTTTAAGCTTTTTTAAGCTCACTTCTTAATTTTGTGCTAATTTCTGCTTATTTAAACATAATTCAGCAAATATGCGTTCTTTCTGCTTTCTTCTGCTAAGTTGGGCTTGTTCTTGTACTTCAGCTACATTTCAGCATGTTTTTTTTAGCTAATTTCAGCTGTTTTTCAGCAAGTTCTTCTAAAATAAGCATTCACACTGCATTTTGCATGAAATGCAGTTTCTCTAATTATTAATTTTGGCACTTGAACAACAAAAAGTCTACTTAACATTCATGGACGCTCAAGAAGTAAAAAAGGCAAAGCCCAAGTAATTTAGGCATAAAAAGAACTCAATTTAAACCTGGAAATAAGAAATAGCTCTTTCTCAGCTGGGCACACAGGAAGTAATTAAATAAATCATTCAGAGCGGAACAGAGTGAGTGATCATCCACCAAAGCACTAGTGAGCGCTCAGGTTCACGTGTCTCCAAAGCAAAGCTCCGGTTGTGTTTGTCTGCAGGAGACAAAGCTCCGGTTGTG